AGCAGAGAAACAAGGATGTGAGAGAAAAATGAGATAAAATATTCTTTGCAGGTCCAGTCGCTCCATTCCTTTACCTTTATGAGAAGGACGTATTTGAAAGCAGTACAAGGAATGAAAGTGCATCTCCGCAATGTGTACACGTGCTGTAGAGGCACCTCCTTTATCTAGGCCCGCTCTCTCGCCCTTAATACCTCGTTGAAAATGAGGCAGTTGTTAGGGAGCTGTCGCAAATCCGGCAAGAGTTCTGGAACGAGAAATGGAACGAATGAAGCGTTCCAGGCATCATCATATGGTAGCACTTCCACAAGATTCCAACCTTGAGTGGATCTGGTCTTACTGGCACGAGATCAACGGTGACGATTGCCCTTTTTCTTGCCGTTTATGGGAGAATTTATTCTAGACACATTTCGAGCGCTGTCAACAAATTACCTTTGCAATGGTGAAGAAGGGAGCGGCTTTTTCAGCGGCCGAGAATCATTCTTGGTAGATCCTCGACGCAAATATATCTCCAACTAGAGGATGAAGAAGGAAGTTAAACAAAATGTTGGAAAGCGCAAAAATCCTTTCCGCTGTTCCCCAAAACTGTCTTCGCGTTCTTACCAAGTTCTTAGCGAAATTAGAGAGATATTGCCTTTAAGTGGCAAAAACTCGCTTGAAAAATTCCGCATCCTCGACGCTCCCTCGACAAAATTTGAGAGACCCTATCTCTTCGAGTGTAAAGCTTTAGATCAATTTCAATATTGCCCGGTAGTAGCAAATCCAGCTCTATCTAACCCTACCACATACTGCTCCAAAACCTATGAAATGGGGGAATGGAACCTTTTCATCGAGAGTGTAGATTTCGCATTCACGGTCTTCGAGCGGGGCTTTGCGGTTAATCTGACCGCTACGGATCATCGCTGCTGCAATCGACTACGTTTCTTTCTACTGTCATTGAGGAAACTCGCTTCATTCACATCAAGTTAGGACGGTGACCACGTTCTCGACACCATTTTCACCCTGCCCTTAAGTCATGAATGGGACGGAGATTGAGTGCACTTGCATCTTAGAACGTGATCACGTGACGGCCTTTGCTTTGATTCTTACATGTGAAAGTATGTAGTTTGTTGGGGTCCTCTGGGAGGGTTCTTTGGAGTGGCTTCTTTCGACCAAAATTTTCGCATCAACCCCTGGATGAACATTTTCTGAAATGAATTCACAAACTCATTTCAAATCATTTGAAAGAGCAGATCTCGTTTTCAATTGCCTTTTTTTATTGCAAAAGATTTCCCTTGAGTGAAGCATGGCCACTGAAGTGTAAACTCACGTTTAAAAATCGCCCTGGTTAGTTTGGCGAGATGTTTATTGAAAGAAGGTTCTTAAAGGCAAGATTCAGGATTAAGATGGGGTAATTCTACTCAAATGTGAAAGTAGGAATGGGAGGTGGACCGCCAGTGGAGGAAAAGGGAACACTTGCGTACCCCGCACTTCTAGCCATGGTAAGGGCTTCTTAGGTGGGTCTGAGACCGAATTTTGCTTTAAGAGAGAGTTTTTGTCTTCCTCTATAAAGGACATGCTCCCACCCATTGGAGAAGCCAAGAAAAATGGTAAAATCGCAAAAATTTCAGAAACCTACATTTTTCGAAAAATACCCGAGCACGGTATTTGGTACGAGATCGGCTTGGACGACGAATCTTTATCAACTCCCTTCCATTAGGCAAATTCCCATAGAAGGTTTATGAGGTTTTTTAACTCGTCTGAGTCAGCCTGGCGCGCATGCATGTCAGACCTTCACACGAATGAAACTTGTTTTGCTCCATTTGTATGCTACTTTTCACGTTCCGAAACTCTTCTTCTACATTATGGGATACAGAAAATAGTATAGTCATTATAACTAACGGAATTATGAATAATGGATTTGAAAAAGCAGGAAATGATGCCGAGGTGACGGGATGTCGTACATAACTTGGCTTCTAAATCCCTGCCCCAATGATTCGGCAAATTGGGCATACTTCCCTAGCCTCCAGGAGACCACTGGTTGAAGGCAAACATTATGATTAGGTCCTGGAGGGAAAACTGGTTGAGGGAACATCTTTATTTAGGTATGAGGGAAAAACTATGCCCAGAAATTTAAAGTTGTTTGAATTTCGCTGTCACGATGTCCAAGTTCAATGTGTAAGAATGTTGGCAATTTTTAAATAGAATTTTAGTACTGATTTCGACCAGTTTGTCAAATTAAGCTTGACATTTCTGTCGGTAGCTCAGTATATAAACTATTCTATTCGCTGCCACAAAGCTGTCAGGTAGAGCGCTAATGCAAAGGTGCCATTAGCTGCTTTAGTACTTAGAGCTTGGCTGGGAATCAGGCATTATGATGATTCTATTCTGATTATTCTCCTGGTTCTTGCCTTGTTCTTCTTCCCTCTCCTTAACACTAGGGCTCTTATTGGCTCTATTCTTTTCACATCTTTCTTCTCTTGTTTTCTTCTTGGTTTGAGAAAAGAGGCCCTGCGTTTTTATAGATACGTTTCCTTTTTATACTTTCATTTTCATCAGTTTCACTTCGCCTTCTACCTTTAATTTCATTTTTTCGGCGAAAAATTATACCATTTCGATCGTGAGCTACCCTTGAGTTCCTCTATTTCGGAAGAACGAGAAGAGCGCCGAGTGCAGACCACACACCACAAGTTACGACGGCCAAAAAAAAAAAAAGCTTTTTTTCTTGGCCGTCGTCACTTGTGGTGTGTGGTCTGCACTCGACGCTCTTCTCGTTCTCGTAAAAAGTGGGTATGTTCAACAGCAACGGATAGATCGATTTCTGTACAACAAACTTTATTATAGCATAAATAAACATATACGTAGAACTTTGTCATGAACGAATTTGTAAATAATTGAGCATCTTTAACATTTAAGTAGTGAAATATGACGCCATTGGCACCAGAGTTCTCGCGTGCATACGCGAATGTGGTACATTAAAGCTTCAGCGAAAACGGGGTGCCTCTCCATTGGCCAACGTGCTCTGCGAGCTACTATCCCAAGAGCTCTAGCAGAACTAGGGGGAGAGGAGATTTCAGGAACAAAATCACAAAGTCACCAAAAACAACAGGCACATCGATCAAAAACGGTCAATTTAGGTCGAGATTCCGGCTGCAGAAACTTCAGAGTCAATCCGTTAATATTTTAGTGTTTTGAGATACTCTAAGGCGAAATATCAAAAAGGTATCAAATTAAACTCTGAAGGAATCACAGAAACGATTTCTCAGTATGGTTGCGTAGGTGCCACCGTAACCAAGTTGTTCGCTGTGGGACCCGCAGTGTCACATGTTATCGACTTGTTTTCGATGTACCCTCTGTCGTTGGTCCAGGCTTAGTCCCGGTCGAAGGACCTCTGGGCCCATGCTCCAGTTGGATTGCGCGCTCCAATCTTCAACAGCGCGCTCCAGTGCAATGTGGTTACGGTAACACCTAGTCACCATACTGACAAATCGTTCTTGTGAAGGGTTCTGCAATCGTCAAAGACCTACACATGGTACCATCATAGAAAAAGGAAAGCAATTCAGAAAATATCCTATGTTTCGAATAATCACTTGGCACGCAACAACAAGTAACAAGTGCTTCGACAAGTTGAGCACCTATAGCAATCGAGAATCGATAAAATCCCTAGAAATCATCCGATCGATTGCTTCAAATCACAGCTTATTATCGATTGGTTGTGGATCACAGATAAGGCCTATATCAACGGGATGCGTACAAAATTGCACATTCGAGAAATGGGCCCATAAAAAAGGGTGGGAAGGCAGGATGTTCGGAGAAAGACAACATGAAAATTTGTAAAATCGATAATTACAAGTATAACAACAGCTGATGTCGAATATTTTGCGACAAATGTAAGTGAATAAATGGTATAACTTAACTATGTGTAGTGCGGATGGAATTTTTGGCTTTCTCTGCTGCTGGAAGCGGACAACTTACGCTAGAAGGGGACCGCACAACATTCGGGTGCCCGACAGGAAGCCC